GCCACCAATGGGTCCCAATGTCCCCAGGAGGCGCTGAGGGCCACCAGGAGGGAGAACGGACGCCACTGACAGACACCCAATGCTGAAGGTCACCCAAGGGGACAGGAGAACATTTATAGAGCCAGGTAACAACGCGAGCGACCCTGTGAGGACAGGGATTGGTGCTGAGGGATTGCAGTGGGTCCCAATGTCCCCAGGAGGCGCTGAGGGCCACCAGGAGTGACAACAGACACCACTGATGGACACCCAGGGTTGCAGGTCACCCAATGGGACAAGAGAACATTTATAGAGCCACATAACAACGTGAACGTCCCAATGTGAGGACAGGAGCTTGTGCTGAGGGATAACAGTGGGTCCCAATGTCCCCAAGCAGTTCCAAGGGCCACCAGGAGGGACAACGGACACCACTGATGGACACCCAGGGCTGAAGGTCACCCAATGGGACAGGAGAACATTTATGGAGCCACGTAACAACGCGAGCGTCCCAAGGTGAGGATGGGGGACACCTCCCAGCTCCAGGCCCCCCTCATCGTCCCTCCAGGCTCTTGTCCCTCGCGATGACCCCCTCCTCAAACTTGATCATCAGCGTGGTGCCCTTGTGCCAATGCGCCGTCACCTTGGCCGGGAAGCCGCTGGCTCCCAGCACCGCCTCCACCAAACCGGCCGTGAAGGCGGCGCAGTTGAGCGTGCTGTTCTCCCTGGGCACGGAGATGAAGGTGTTGACCAGAGGCTCCCTCTCGATGACGTAGAACGTCTTGTCGTCGTCGTTGGCCTGCTCCAGCTTGTCGGCCTCCTTCCCAAACAGCGCCCTCCACACGGGGCCTTTGACGAAGAGGAGGATGCTCAGCACTTTGGTCTCGCGGCGCCCGCCCCGCTCGCGGCTCACCAGCGGGTCCAGGAGGCGCAGGCCGACTTGGTGGCCCAGCTGGGCCAGTTTGGACTGCAGCTCGGCCACCGAGTAGACGCGGCGCTGGCAGTACTGCACCAACTCGCAGAAGAGGAGGGCGAAGGCACTCAGGCTCACCTCCCCCCGCGGGCGGCCCAGAGGGCGCTCCAGCAAAGGGGATTTGCCACGGGTGAAGCGGGATTCCATGGTCCTG